AGACCTTTAACAAACCAGTGCAGGGCCGTGCCTTTATCAAGGGTGGGAACACGGCGGAGCAATCGACGAAACTCATGAGTATAAAGCGCGACCGATCGTTTTCCTTGTTTAAGCGACTCGAGGGCCTCACGGGCAGCGGCGACGGGATTGGGAGGAGTGTGAAAGGTGAGAAAGTCGGTCTCAAACTCGTCCCAAGGAGTGCGGATAGTCAGGCCCGAAGAGCGCCACCAGGACTTGGCATCGTCGATCAGATTAAGTGCCGTGTACTGAACCCATTCGGCCAGACCAAGCTTGACAACGGTGAAGTACTCTTTTTGGTTGTCGATAAAGTTAATGCATGCATCTGCATCAATCGCACCGGAGTAGGGGGTAGGGCGCTGGGGTTTGAGGACTTGGGCCAGACTACGGGCAAGGTCACGGCGATCAGCCTCCAGCTCGCGCTCGGTGGGCTCGGCCGGAGCAGGGGCGGGAGTGGGTACAGACGCAGAGATCGGTATAGCGTCGAAAAAGTTGCGTATGGCAATCTGGCGGTCGGTGGGAATGCCGTCAAGAAGGGAATCGAGTTGGTCAGACATAATGATAGTGTGAGTGAAAGAGACGGTGGAAAAAAATCAAACTTTAAAAAAAAAAAAAAAAAAGGATGAATCAAGAAAAGGAAAGAGAGGAAAAGCAGGGCAGAGGGGGGATTGATGTTATCTTTGCTACCATGTAATAGCAACAAAACGAAGGAAGGAACAAGTGCAGGAACAAGAGGACACGAGGTAGGAACACGAGAGGCAGGGGACAAGAGACAAGGGCTAGAACGGATGATCTTTATTATTGTGATAGTATCCTAGGCTAACCTTCTGCTTAGCCCTCAACCACGCCCCCATCACCGCGCCTCAACCGCTGCGCCCCCTGTATATTAGTATAAATACCTCTATCTCTCTGTATAATAAAGATCATCCGTTCTAGCCCTTGTCTCTTGTCCCCTGCCTCTCGTGTTCCTACCTCGTGTCCTCTTGTTCCTGCACTTGTTCCTTCCTTCGTTTTGTTGCTATTACAATTATACAGAGAGATAGAGGTATTTATACTAATATACAGGGGGCGCAGTGGTGGAGGCGCGGTGATGGGGGCGTGGTTGAGGGCTAAGCAGAAGGTTAGCCTAGGATACTATCACACTTATTGCTTCCTTAACAGTGGATGGAGGTACGGGCTTCATTTTTTGCAGATAGATAGAGTAGAATAAGGCAAACAGGAAAACGAAACACAAAATGGGTTCATTTATAATGAATCTGATGAAAATGACGATGGTATTTAAAATTACATAAAAATGAGGTTAAGGTGCAAAACTGATTCAATGATGACGGATGGCACAATCGTCATGCAGCAATGGGTGTGCATACTTCTGGCTCCAAAGCAAGCAGCCCTGTTCGTCATTGGATGGGCTACATTTGTGGTGAATATGACGATGGCTGAGGCATTGGTTCCTTGTAGGTGAGTGCCAACGCAAAATCATCGCATCATTGAATCAGTTTTGCACCATACTGTATAAGGAAATCCACTTGTGTCCAATTCACATCCATTCAGTCGCACTTCCTGGCTTTCCATGTACTCAACAATCTCTCTGAAAGTGGTGGGTAGATTGCTGGTTACATTCTCGATATAGATGAGATATTTTTGAGTGCTGACATTTCGCGGTCGTCGCAACATCTGTCTACATGTTTCAACAATGACGCCAGTTTGTGCTTCAAAGAACCCCACGACATAGTTGAAGTGCTTCACATTGCAGTCTATACCAACTGTGATGGTCGGAGTGTGAATGAAATAGTCAAGGTCCAGCACAATTTTGTTGATATTTTGTGAGATGTCAATCTTATCAGCATCAGATGTGTTCTTTGTGATACAGACACCTCTTCTGCCCATTTTCTGCAGTGTCTTATGCAGGGTCTCGGCATCTTCAGCTGAGTGTGTGGTTGATATCCAGACCTTCTGATCAGATTTTACAAGATCAATAACATGAGACTCTAAGACTTCCTTATGCTGGAAGCACACAACTTGATGCCCTTGCTGTGGTTTGAACGTGTTGTGAATGACAAAAGCATCGCTCCTCACAGACTTGATGATTTCAGCCTCTCGGTCTGTCACGTCAGCATCCAAGGCAATTACCCTCTTAGACTTGCGCATAAGTTCTTCTAGGACTTGATTGTTTGTGCCATGGCGGCCTTTCATGGTGCCCACACTTGTCATCTGTTCAAAAATAGAGCAGACCTCATCCAAGACCAGAACCACATCCATGCTATAGTATTCAAGATCAAGCTTATATAAGGACTCAGCTTGAATGATCACGCGCTTCCCTGAGACAAGCCCAGGGAAACTAAGATAGCTCTTTAGCTTAAGGCGTTTCTCTAGATTGCGTGCTAGTGATTGTCGAGGAGACACAAAAATGTATGTTAAGTTCTTGTGCCTATCCATAAAACTTTCAACAAAAGAGGTCTTAGCAGTGTTTGGTTCACTGCGGATCACAAGACTCTGTTTCTGATTTTGCAGCAGCTTCATAACTTCCTTATACTCCAAATGGCGAAGTGAGCAATGTTTGTTAGCAGTGATTGTTTCTTCTTGATTGGTCTGTGCCCTATGCACTCGAAGTGCGATCATGCTTGGAAAATCTAGTTTGCCAATTTGAAGTCCATCACGCCTGGAATTTGCATTCACCCTATAGCAGTGGAGGTATACTTTTCCCTGATCTGCAATTGTCACATATGCACTGTCATTGTCGTGGATCCTATTACATATTTGACAGTGCCCTGATTTTATACGCTTCAGGTGCATACGACTGTTATGAGATTCGCCAATCTTGAACTGTGACAAGCAATCCATTTTTGCAAGCATGGCATTTATTGCTTTAATCACAATAGGTGGCAACTTTTGGTTTTGCTCTTGGTCTTGATCCTGCTCAGACCCCTGTACTCGAGGTAGTTTATTTCTAGCACCTTTGCTTGCTGCAAGATGACAATGCACAATATCTGTGACATCAGCACTCACATTGGTGACAAAAAACTCACTCTCAGGTGCAGAGCAGGAGGCATTGTGCCAAATTGCAGGTCGGAGAACCCTTGTTGGATCATGGCGCTTAGCACTATTGATGCATCTGAAGTTTCGATTCTTTGTGTAAACAGTCCAATCAATGTGTTTTGAAAGTGGATGTTCTTTAACCATCAAATGGAAGGCGTCCATAAAGTTTTTCATATGGCATGTGTTGTCTCTGAACTTGAATCCAGACCTTGATAAGATGATGTGCATTGACCCTTTTTCAGCATTTGATGCACTCAAAATGCGGCACTCAGAAGCTAAGACTTCGTACTCTGGACAGAAGGCATTCCTTTGCTGCAAAAAATCTGAGAAGATTGTCTCCTCAGTGTCCTCTGTCTTTGAGGGATCCCACTCCAGGTCGTAGTATTCCCAGCAAGATGTCCCATCGCGGATTTGCTCAAAGAAGAAGCATTCAGTGGCTGGTACATACTTTGTGGATGGCAGGAAGCTCTGCAGATTTTTGTAGCTGCCAAATGCCCAAAGCGGTTTGCCCTCCGAGTTGAGCTTGAATTGATGAGCAACAAGAAATGTGTTCTGAGCCTCATCAGCTCTCTTGAAAGATGCTGCCTGTGGCCTAAGGCCCTGTTGCTTTTGTGAGTAGAATGTGGCTCCAAATTTGTACATTGTTTATAATGTGCGTCTTGTTGTATATGAAAAATTTATATTCAGTTTATTTATTTTTTTGAAATCATCCCCTGTGCATGAACCAAGGGGCCAACTTGCAAAGTTCTTTTCTAAGAGAGAGCTTGCAAGTTAGCCCCGGCTAAATAATATTCCGTTCAAGCATGAAATACAATCCACCCAGGAAATTGCATAGTCTCCCGACAGGGTAACACTTTTTGTTGACTTTTTAAAAAATAAAATAAGATAGCTCTTTATTGACTTGTTAAATAAAAAAAAGCTATTTATTATTGATGGCCTTCGAAGGTACGTAGATGATAATATTCTTATTAAAAAAAACATCTTCACAACAGATTTGCAAGAGGGGAGCTTCCGAGGGTTTGATCCTCACTAGGGCTTTCTGGATCTTGGTACAACCACCTTGGATCATCCATGTCACTCTCATCAGCAGAGCCGTCCTCATCCATAGTTGTCAAACAACGCTGATAGTGCTGGATCGTTCCTGCCATAGCAGCCTACATCACAACAAAGGGAGGAGTAGGAAACTGATTAGTACTCAATGTCCAGTATCCTCCCCATAGGCATAATAAAAAGATAAATTCCGACTTACCCTAACACGCAGCAAGTGCGCGATTCCTTGGATTTGCCGGGTCCATTGCTGTGGGGCGGATGGCAAGATATGAGACCTATGAGCTTGGTGCAGAAAGATGTATGGGCTCTTCTTTGTTGGTCGAAGTTGGAACGTCTTGAACCCTGGACCTCCTGAGTATACTGCAAAGAAACGTGCACTCTCAACAAAGTTCTCCAGCTTGATATCTTGGGTTCGACCACTTGCCAGTAGATGTAGCTCTTTGAACAGAACTACGCTAGTTTCATGCAGAAACTTCGTGGAGAGTTCATCCCAAACCGGCATGGACTCAACAATGAACCAATCTTTCTGATCCCGAATGTCTCGACCCACCATATCGACATTCTTGCCCTTTCGCTTCCTCGGTGCCTGTCCTTCGACATCAAGACGACGACCTTTGTTCCTGCGGTTCTTGCTCTCATAGGTTGCCTTCTCTCCATCTATCATCGTAATCCCATCAACGTTTCCAGGATTCTCCGGAGCAGGGGCCAGCCCTCTCGACACCAAAATGCTTCAGACGTCTCTGTGATATTATCAAATGGTGAGGGGTTTGCCTTGTATATTTGTGTCCTAAACTTAAGTCGCATTAGAGCCATGATATAAGGCAGGATATCTAGCAAGTCATTTTCCAGGATGCTTACCACTGAATTATAGACAATAGGGCCAATTCACAAGCTATAACGTCTGTTTTGGGGATTGGCACAGTGGTGACATGATCACCACGGTTCAGAGCCTTCCGAAGAGAGACAAGATATTGTTCCGTGGTCTTGCAGAGATCTGGTACATCGAATGCCCTCTGCTCACACAACTCTGACCATTCTTCATTTGTGAACAATGCTCGAGTCAAAGGACAATCGTAATCAATAGTATATGATCTTATCCTAAGCATATAGAGTACAATTAGATATTAGTTATTATGTTGTATCTCATGACCCAAATGCATGCAAAATTGGTCATACCGAAATGTGGCTGCGCCACCCAGACTGGCTTCAAATAGAACTGTCTCGACATCTCTACCTGACTTTAGATGCCAGAATTTGCACTTATCCATGCCTCGGTACCGCTGTTAATATAATAGAATCATCAAAAGGGAATGAGACTAGTGGCAGTGTATAAAAGTGTGCCAACTGCACTGTTTAGTTTGCAATCTGGCCATGAACAATGAAAATATTATCTGCACAATAACCAACCTCAATTCGAGTGGACAGAGTGTTGTTCAGTGCCTCGTCAGGGCTGTGCGCCTCGTCAGGGCGGCTCCGCTTGCCTGTTTGCTTCTGCTGGGCTCCTTTTTGACGAGTTTCTGTAAATGTTGATAGTTATGGAGATGAGTGTTGGGTTGTATTTTGATTTGGCTGTTAGAAGGTTGTCACTCAGGCAAATCTCACAGTCTCATCTCTTACCAATCTGTGTGGGCAAGATTTCTTTCCCAGCATCATCAACCCTACTCGATGCACTGTTCTTGATGATCGCCACAGAGTCATCGGCATCTTTGGCTAGTGGCGGAATAATTTGAGGTTAATTAAGGTTCTGTATATGGCAGCAAAGGCGAAAATTGGTTAAATATACATTACCGAATTTGTCTCTGGCACTTCGAGTATAGTATCTATAAGCAGCTCCAAGTTGGGCCGTAGCATTCTCCTTGAGATCTAGCGTTTGCTGCTGATCAATGATATTCTCACGCAGCTCCATTTCCTCGACTTGCAACTCCTGCCAAAAGGCTTCAACCAGACTAGTATCCCGTTTCCACTCGGAACAAAGCCTCGGATACTCTTGACTCACGCTTTTACGCCCACACCCTTGAATGGCCAGGAGGACCTCCGAAACCCACGTCTGGGTTAACTTGTCCTTCATGGAGCTCAGAGGGGAGCAGAAACGCAGGTAACTGAGATAATTGATCGAAGCTGGATACTTCAGGCTCTCAAAGTATGCAGCGTAGGGTACATGCGACAGGAGCTTCTGCCAAGGAATTGGTTTGACGCCTTTCTGGGAACAAGACATTCTGAGTGTTGAGTTTAGTTAGTTCCCGGCCTTATACATTGGCTGTTGCAATGGTCAACAGCTTGCTTATTACCTTGAAATAAAAGTGCGGCAACAGTTCTGGTATGAACGGGCAGTAGTGTGAGTGGGGGACAGGATCTTCTAGGCGTTAGAGAAAAAGGGGTTCTTGATCTGTGCCACTTTTGGTGTGAGTGTTATTAAAAACGAGACGTTGTTGTAATGCTCCAGTCGCATCTATTATGCTAATGAAGGTGCACCATCAGTCTCTTTGAGTTGGTCTCAAGGATATAAATAAACGGTGTTAGCTTCTCAGGGTAATCAAACATGGAGCGAAGATAGATAGGATGGCTCTTCTATTGAGGTAGCGTAGAGCAGCTGGAAACCCACAGCTCATTGACGTCCCCTGCCAGGGAGCCTCAAATGAGCAGGCTCCACGGAGGATCCACCAGGACGCTCATGATCAGCTTCCTCCCTTCTGGCAGAAATAAGATCGAAGGGAGGAGATAACGGGAAGAAGGTCATCACTGGAATAAATAATGAGATGCTTCTGATCCTCACAGTCCTCCTGGTGACCTCTACTGTTTTTTGCGCCGCAATACATTCTGATAGAGATTGGATACCCACAGCCCATTGACGTCCCCTGCCAGGGAGCCTCAAATGAGCAGGCTCCACGGAGGATCCACCAGGGCGCTCATAGTCAGCATCCTCCCTTCTGGCAGAAATAAGATCGAAGGGAGGTGATGACGGGATGAAGGTCCTCATTGGAGATGCTTCTGATCCTCAGAGTCCCCCTGGTGACCTCGTTCTTCATCTGCGCTGCAATTTAAAATCCATGCGCCTGAATGTATCCTTCTAATTGAAAGGATGAGCATATGAGCAGTAAATGCTCCACATAGTTTACCTTAGATCGAGTGTGATGCAGCAGTTCTAGTATGGAACGGTAGAAGAGAGAGAATGTGCGTGTGTGTGTGTGTGTGTGTGTGTGTGTGTGTATGTGTGTGTGAAAAAGAGAAGAGAAGCTTCGCGAAGTAAAATAGCCCTAGGACTAGGAGCATAGTTCATTTGACATTGTGACTTCTATAAAAGTTAACATCTACGATAAGTAAATGAAACACGTTTATTTGAGTTTCCGTCAAGGAAATAAAGTTCTTTTTCCTGACGAAAATTTTGACGAAAAAAAAACTCTCTAATATATTTTTTAAAAGAGAAGAAAAAAAAAATCCCTCCAATGGAATACTGCCAAATCACTCTTTCTTCTCCATTTTCCTTACCAAACCAATTAAATCATGCCATCTCATCACAAATCCTTATCACATCTCGAAATTAATCGTAA